TGTAAAGCCAGCTGGTATATGATGAGTCTCTTCACTTTCTTTTCAAAATTCTGTTGGTCCCTGGCTTTGGACACTTTGATTATAATGTGTCTTCGTGTGAATCACTGTGAATTTATTACATTGGGAGCTTTTTGAGCTTTGTAGATGTGTCATTCATGTTTTTCAACAACACTCAGCCAGGCAGTTGACAGCTGTTTCTCCTTCACGTCTTGCTTGCTCAGAACCTCAAGGTCAGCCAGAGGTGAGAGCTCAGGGCTTTCTCAGGTCTCTCTCTCTGGAATTTTCACAGCCCGGCACGCACACATGGTCTTTCAGATTCCCAGGACCGTGCCAGAGCTTTGCAGAGCCTTTGTGGACCTCTGATTCTTCAGGCCCTCCTTCTGAGCTTCTTGTTTAGTCTCTTGTTTGCCCCGGCTATTATGCACTGCCTCAGGCAGCAGCAGCTAAAGCATTTGCTGTAAATGTTTTCCACTGTTGCACCCCCAAGTAGTGGTTTAAAGTCCATAGCCTCTGAGCCCTCGTTTTGGAGACTGTCTTTGAATGAACCCTCCAGCCAGCTGTCTCCTTGGAGAGCCAGGCTTCTCACTGCTCTTGGCCTTGGCACATATCTGCCCCGTGTATACCAGGCCCTGAGGAGTCTCTTCTTGCCGATTGAACTGCAACAGAACCCTCCACTTTAAAATTTATTATAGCGTTTATCCTAATCACCACTGTCACTATGACTCTCTCCCCAGTTTTTATAATTGCTGTTAGTAAACTGCTTATAATCTATGCCATCATTCTTATAATGATAATTGGTATTCTTAACAGTGTGCCATCTCGCCTGTGACTGTGGCACCATAGGACTGGTGGCAGGTCTTGCCTTTCAGAAAAGCCCTTTATCGCTTCTTGGCTAAGATCAAGTGTAGTGTCTGTTCTTACCAGAAGGGCACCCTTTGCGTCCAGGCTGTGTGAACTGGGCAGTGCATTGTGTACAGGGAAGTGTCTGTTCACCCTCGAGCCCCATCCACTTCGGGGGTCTGGAGAGACGCCAGGGGAGCAGGCCCAGGGTGGGCATTGGCCTCTCTTGGGGCTCTCAACTCAGCTCTCATCAGTTCAGCATCCTGATTTGGTTTGAGATGAATTCTTAGTGTCTGGACACACCAGAGAAAGGGTCAGCATCAAATCCACGCCAAAGGCCACTCGGGACGGTTCTTTACTTGTTCCGTTTCCCATCTGACCCCTTGAGGGCCCTGGTCTCAGTGGCCCTCCTCCCATTGTGGAAGGCCTGTGTTTCTGTGCTGTTTCCCGTCCCAGCAATGTGCATGCCCGCAGCCAGGCTCTGTTGGAGGTGTGGCACCACCTATGAAGTGAGGAGCAGCCGGCGTGACTTCTGGGCTCTTGCCGGGGGTGTGGCCTGTTGTGAGTTGGGAGGGCCTTGGCACTGTGGGTCAGCACCACCCACCAGGAGTCGCCCCCCAGGCTTCCTGAAACCTCACTGCCATGAAAACATCAATGTATTTGGAAACCGAAGCAATACTGTCAGTGCAAGAATGGGGCAGGAGAGTTGAGGGTACCAACGATGGAGAGATGCCACCGACCCTGGAAGTGGTGACGGGCTCAGCGGGCGAGGAAGGCAGCAGCCGAGAGGACAGCCCAAGGGGCAGTGGGGTGCCGGGGATGGGGCAGTGGCGAGCAGATGGAAGCAGAGGGCACAGGTGAAGCAGGTCTGGAGAGGGCCACCTGCATGGGGTAGTGGCCCCCGGCGAGACCCTAGCCTGTTCTTCTGTGAAGAAAATGATGGAAATGAATAAGCAAACCAGCTCCCAAGCCGCTGGCCTGGCCCCCACAGAGCCTGAGCGGCTCCTAGCTTGGCTCTTGATGTGGCTGATGTGACTGATGTGGCTGGCGGCAGCCCAGGTGAAGCCTACCTTTTCGCAGCCTCTGAGGGTCCATGGGGCAAGAGCTGACCCCTGCCTCACCTCTGTGGAACTCCTCCAAACTGTCCTCCGGAGAGATACCCCACAGGCAATGGCTCCACCACAGCGGACCAGGGGGAGCGGCAGCTACCCAGATCCTCTCCCCAGCCGCGGCGGCTTGAAAAGCAGCCCCATGCAGGAGAGAAGAAAGCCCTGGATGAGCAGGAAATCTGACCCAAAGGACTTTCCAACACTGTTGAATACACTTAGTGCGACTTCCAGACGTGCCTGGACAGCTGTGAAAACCCAGGCACAAGGAGACTAGAAACGAAATGAGGCTGGGATCTCTAAGAAGAGAGAAAAGAGACAGAAAAACCAGCACAAAGATCAGCGTCGTGCAGGCCCCAGCCAGGCACAGGGTCTCCAGGAAAGGGGGCAGGGGAGATGGAGGGCAGGGCTCCGGAGGAGGCGGGCACACAGAACAAGCCAGGTGAGTGCAGGTGCTGAGCACAGGGCGGGTGGGACCCACCTCCTGTCATCTGGAGTACAGGGGCCAAGGGCTGGGGCCAAAGCTTCGGGAGAGACAACCTGTGGCCTCAGGAGCAGCCAGGATGCTTTACAAGCACTGAGGGCCCTGCACACCCGGCCTTGGGCTCTGGACCCTGCCAAGCTCTGCACCAAGAGTGAGGGCAGAGCAGGAAGGCTGGGATGGAGGTCTAGACGATTTGATAAGGGCAGATGCCACACGAGGAACACGGTCTGGAGCCTAGGAAAACAGTCTAGAGCAGTGCGCATTGCGGCAGGAAGCCCCTTAGCTGGGACGCCACTGGAAGCTGATGGCTAGTGGAGAGGGTCCTGAGGCAATTCCGGGCGGGCTGAGCACATTCCCCAGCTCAGTGTCACCCCGAGGCACACCCCATGATTCTTGAGCTTCAGAGTCACCCTCGGGATGGGCAGAGGATGACAAATTCAGGGTTCACAGCACCTAATGTCAATGCTAATGACCTCAACATGTAAAAGGCAAAGTGTAGCTGACAGTGGGGCCACGGACGGGGAGCGGACAGGCAGGGCAGGTGAGGGGCTGTGTTGTCGTCGTCTGTCTGCTGGGGGAGGGGGATGATGGCCATGGTCTAGGGTTGGCGACTGAGGCAGATGTGGTTATGGCAGATAAGGTGCGGTGCAGTCACCACGCCCGCCACCCGGCTAGGCAGCCAAGGCCTTAGGGCTGTCTGTGATTGGGTTTGTTGTGTGTGCAGTTATCCATCTGGTTAATACTGAACGTGCCACTGAAGTCAGGACAGTCCCTGCCTCCTCACTGTGTGCCATATGCTGCCCCTGGGACTCTGGGGGCAGGGGGCAGGTAGGCGGGGGCACAGCTGGGTCAGCAGACCCTGGCCTGGGTCTCGGAACTGTGCTGCGGTTGGTGTGACCCAGCCCAGGGCTCCCAAGCTGCTGGCCTGGCCCCCACAGAGCTTGAGCAGCTCCCAGTTCGGCAGTGCCTGTCCCTTCCCTGCCGTGCTGGTGGTAGCTGGGGCTCAAGGAGGATCAGCTGAGGACATGTGCCTTGGGCGGCGGGCAGGAGGCACCTCGCCTCTTGCGCCAGGCTCGCTTTCCTGTTGGTTTCTTTCCTCTGCAGCTACCAAGATGAATGAGCTAATGGAGAAATACAAAGTCTTCAGTGATGGCCCACGCAAAAGCACAGGATAGTAGGGGCAGGAAGCCCTCTCCCAAGATCGGGTTGGCCGAGGATGGATGATTGTGGCAGCAGAAGCCGTTGCAGCCCCACGTTGTGCTCTAGGCAGGGACCTTTGGCCCCTTTGGCGACAGAGAGACAAGATGGGTGGTTTGATTTGGACACAAAGAAAGCCTCGCTTTCTAAGCAGAGTCTCCTCCAGCCTGCTTTCTGCTTCTGCAGCTCCGCGCCTCTCTCCTTTCCCCCCCATCCTGAGCTGCTCGGGTGGCCCAGGTCTGGGCAGGCTGGCCGAGGCCTTCCTGTCATCTTGGCGGGCCCAGGCTGTGTTCTCTTCCTGTGGCTTCACTCCTTCCTGCTGTTGCCAGCCACTTGCAAGCAGAGACCCGACTGCTGCCTCCCCTGGCTGGCCTCAGGGTCCTGTGTGAGACATACCCCTCAGCCGCCCTCCTTGAGTGCTCCTGGATCCCACGCGGGGTACCTGTTTCCTGCTCCTCCCTGGCTGGGCACTCAGCTCTGGGCTGGGGAATTCAGCCTGACTGGTTGTCCAGGAAGATGCTGTCTGGGTTTCCCAGGGTGACCCAGTATCTCCCTGAGCAGTGTGCCTGTCACAGCTGCCTCCCTCCCTGCGAGCACTAGAACAGGCACAACTAGTGGGGCCTCTGCCTCTTTGGGGCCATTGTTGCACCTGCTGCTGCCTGCCCCACCCTGCTCCCTCCTGGTACCATCTCCTTTGCTTCCCCAAGGACCCCGTGGGCACACAAGACAAGGAGGCCAGAAGGAGCCAGGTGCCAGACCCCTCCATCCCAGTCTCCTGAGGCATCCCCCAGCCACTGCTGTGAGAGGTGGGAGGCCAGGCAGGCCTGTGGTCACCACGGTCCAGGTGCACCACCTGATTTACAGGCCAAGGGACTCCTCTTGGTCACCTCTCTGTGCCCCCAGCAGGGGGCTGGCCCTGCAGTGCACCCACCACCGAGGGTTTGCTCCAGAATGTCTTCAGGGCACCACTCCTCCCGGGACCGGGAAGGACCTGGTGCCTTTTGCCTGGAGTGGGGTGGGCAGGGTGGGTCCCCGAGACTGGGGTCTGCAGGACTGGGCTTCACTCCTCCTGTAGTCCCGGTGCTCCCGGCCCATCCCCTAACATTGCTTGTCTCTGGTGGGGGAAGCATTAACTCAGCTGCACAGCTCCCAGGCCAGGCTCATCTCCCTTCCCCAGCAGCCGCTGTTAGGTGCACGGTAGACATGATGAAGCGACGTCCTTAGAGCAGCATCTCCCCTTCGCAGTGGGAAATGAGCCGGAAAGCTGTGTGAGCCGGGGTGGGCGGTGCGTGGGCAGCCCCGAGGCTGCCCCATCCCTAGGTTTTGGGGGAGCACCCCATTCCCCTTTGGAGGCTGAGCACGGCATGTGTGGGCACCTTGTTCACACTCCAGAGCTTGCTTCATCCCCATGAGCAGCACCTGATCTCCAGTGATGGGAGACTGAGGCCTGGCAGAGAGGACCTGCTGCCTTTGTGTGACTGGCCCCAGCATGGGGGAGGCATTGGCCCCAGGCCTTTCAGGCCTGGCAGCCACAGCCTGGCTGGGTGGAGGTTATTGCCTTCTGCACCGCTCTGGCTTCCTCCCTGTGCCTGTGAAGAGCTCCTGGAGTCTGCGTGCGTCCCGGGGCCTGCTTCCTAATCTGTAAACACAGGGCGTGTGTCCCAGTGGCTGTGAGCTAGCGAGGGGGCGGAGAGCGAGCCGGCTGCGCAGGTCCTGCGGCCCCAGGCCTCATTGTTGGCCAACAGGCAGCTGGGGGCGGGCCGCGGCCGCTGATTAAAGGCCGCCTGGAGCAGCCTATGTGGCGACAGGTGCCCAGAAGCCCAGGAAGCCGGTCAGTGCCCGCCCCAGGTAAGCTGGTGCGGTGGGGTTGGCAAGGACAGTCGCCCCAGGAACCTGGGGGCAAGCAGGCAGAGGCCAGCTTGGGGCCAGCACCTGTGTGCCAGGGACAAGGCCGGGGAGGTCGAGCCCAGGGGGAGCTGAGCGCACTGCATGGGCTCTTTTGGGTGGCTGCTTTCCCGCTTTCCTGCAGCTGGTTCCAGGGCTTGAGACCCAGCATGCTATGCCCCAGGTTCCCAGCCAAGGCATTCCGGTGAAGGGGCTGGACCCCGCCGAGGCGTGGTCCCTGAGCTGCCTCTGCCTCTCCCAATCCCTGCTGGGCACTGTGGCTGGAGGCAGGCAGTAGAGCGCTTGGAGGCCTGCCTTTTCTGTTCGGTAGGTGGCAGGAGTGGGGCTGATGCTCCCAGAGCCAAAGGTCACAGGCGCTGTGGTTGAGGGTGGCAGGAAGTGAGCCCCAGAAGGGTCAGAGCTTTGGCTAGGGGGAGGGGGGTACACAGCAGGGCCTGGGCGAACCCCTCTCTCCAGTCCTCAGAGTTTGTGCCTCTCGCTCTGGCAGTTTGAGGCCTGGCTATCCCCGTGGGAACATCACCATGTCAGAGACACCCCGGGCTGAGACCTTTGTCTTCCTGGACCTGGAAGCTACTGGGCTCCCCAGCATGGATCCTGAGATTGCTGAACTGTCCCTCTTTGCTGTCCACCGCTCCTCCCTGGAGAACCTGGAGCGCGACGAATCTGGTGCCCCAGTACTGCCCCGGGTCCTGGACAAGCTCACGCTGTGCATGTGCCCAGAGCGCCCCTTCACCGCCAAGGCCAGCGAGATCACTGGCCTGAGCAGCGAGGGCCTGGCGCGGTGCCGGAAGGCTGGCTTTGATGGTGCCGTGGTGCGGATGCTACAGGCGTTCCTGAGCCGCCAGGCAGGGCCCATCTGCCTTGTGGCCCACAATGGCTTTGATTATGATTTCCCCCTGCTGTGTGCCGAGCTGCGGCGCCTGGGTGCCCGCCTACCTCGGGACACTGTCTGCCTGGACACACTGCTGGCCCTGCGGGGCCTCGACCGCGCCCACAGCCACGGCACCCGGGCCCGAGGCCGCCAGGGTTACAGCCTTGGCAGCCTCTTCCACCGCTACTTCCAGGCAGAGCCAAGCGCGGCCCACTCAGCGGAGGGCGATGTGCACACTCTGCTCCTGATCTTCCTGCACCGCGCCGCAGAGCTGCTCGCCTGGGCGGATGAGCAGGCCCGCGGGTGGGCCCACATCGAGCCCATGTACTTGCCGCCCGATGACCCCAGCCTGGAGTCCTGAGCACCAGGGCCACCTCCTGTGCCACAGGCAGCGCCAGTCTCCACCGTTCAGCCGGCCTCTACCAACCCTGGCTCCTCATATCTGGGCAGCCTCAGGTCCATGCACCTGCCAGGCCTTCCCTGGCTGCCTGACCAGCCACAGAGCCCTGGATTCCTCTCCAGTCCCCGCTTCCAGGGCCGTGCTCTCCCAGTCAGCCTGTATGCCCAACAGAGTTTGCTGTTTCCCAATAAACATTGCCAACTACTCACCCTCTGACTCACTGGCCAGATACTAGGGGCTGGACTCCCTTGACCCACTGCTGAGCAGGGCCAGGTGGTGAGCCATGCCAGGGGCCAGCACAAGACCTCCAGGGCTGCCTCCCTATGGCCTCTTCCCGCGGTGCGGTCCGCGGGTGGCTGGGTGGGGAGATGTCAAGCTCTTGGGTTGGTGTGAGGGCTGATGGGTTGCGGCTGTGGGCTGAGTGCGGCTGTGGGCTGCATTGTCATCCCAGAGGCCCAAAGAAGCCATGAGTAGGGACTTAAGCCCACAGAGCCGGCCACCTGCCTGGGCACAAAGCTCAGCTGCAGTGCTCACCCGTCGTGGCACCTGGAGTGTCTGTCCCTGCTCTGTGAAGTGGTAACAGGGTGAAGTGTTAAGAAACAGGGTGCTGGGGAAAAGGGAGGTGCCCCCACATGTGGGCATGCACATATACATGCTGAGGGCTCTGAGGGTGCATGGAGCAGAGGTGGGGTGGCTGGTGCTGTGAGGGTGACACTGGAAGGGAGCCTATCTTGCACCCCATGTCCCCCTAGGGCCAGGAGGCCGCTCGGTGGGAGGGCAGCTTCTGCCCACCACACTGCACTTTGGGTTCCCTGCTAACCTACTTCAGGGGCCCCACCCTGAGGCACTCCCAGTCTTTCGAGAGGCCTCATGGGTGGGGAGAGACCTGTCACCAACGCCGGGTCAGGTAAGAAGGGGTGGGGTGGCCACGCCTGAGAGTGACTCACACGAGCAAAGCCTGAGCCTCCAGCCAGCTGGACAATCCGGGAAGCCCTAAGTAGGTCAGAATGACTGGAGCCACTGCAGCGCGCACGGTGGTAGGATGGTGAGGCCAGAGCACAGGCAGTGACCACCTCAGACCTTCCTTGTGGCCCGGGCCAGGCCTGACCCTGAGGGCAGCGGGGAACCGTGGAGGGTCATGAGCAGGAGAGGGGCAAAGTCTGGTGTAGGATTCTGCCATATGCTGCTTGGGCCGCGTGCCGAGCCGTTCGCGAGTTGCTGTGAAGAAATACTTGAGGCTGGGTCATTTACAAAGACAGCGGGTTTGTTTTGGCTCAGCAGCGCCGGCATCTGTTACTGGTGGGGCCTCAGGAAGCTTCCACTTATGGCAGAAGGCAAAGGGGGAGCAAGAGAGAGGCAGAGGAGGTGAACTCACAGTGAGAATTCAACTCCTTCCGGAGGTGAGGACAGTACCAAGCCATTCATGAGGGATCCAACCCCATGACCCAAATGCCTCCCACCAAGGCCCCACCTCCAACATTGGGGGTTGCATTTCAACCTGAGATTTGGAGGTGACGAACATCCAAACCACATCAGGTTGCTGCATGGAGAATGGGCCAAACAAGAGAGAGGAGAGTGATGGCAAGGCAGGCAGAAGCAGAGCGTGGAGGGCTTTGGTGGAGGGAGGGAGAGCCATGGGCCTGGCCAAGGGGAAGGGGAGGGGCACAGTCTGGGGAAGCCCCACAGGGGCTAGTTTGGGAATGTGGTTTGTAACCAGAAGATCTTGTCACAGCCAAGCTTCCCGAGGAGAGCATCCACCCGGGAGAGTGTCACAAGGCCTGGGCTGTCCCTACAGAAGCTGGAGTAGGGGACACTGAGCTCCCAGATCTGCTGGTGCCCAGACAGGGCCTGCTTCTGTTTATCTGACTGGCCAGGCTCCAGCTGTGCAGCCAAATCCAGCAGGTGGTACCCTTAAAACCCTGGCCTGTTGGGCGCGGTGGCTCACGCCTATAATCCCAGCACTTTGGGAGCCCAAGGCAGGCGGATTGCTTGAGCCCAGGAGTTTGAGACTGACCTGGGCAACATAGCAAGAACCTATCTCTACAAAAATTAAAAAGAAAAATTAGGAGTGGAGGCACACATCTGTAGTCCCAGCTACTCAGGAGGTCGAGGGCCAGTGGATCACTTGAGCCTGGGAAGGTGAGGCTGCAGTGAGCCATGATGGCACCACTGCACTCCAGCCTGGGCGACAGTGAGACCCCCCTCCAGATCAAAAAACAGGAGAAAAAGCCCAGTCTTGCCACTGACTTGCTAGGTAGGTGACACCAGGTGGGGCCCTTCTCATTGGGCATGCTAGAAGAGTCTCAATCCCGGGATGGGACAGGCAGGCAGGTGACAGCCTGATTTTGGCTGCTGCTGCCTCTGTGGAGGGATCTCTGGTTTTGGGCCCTCTCACCTGTCTTGAGCTGAGGTGCCTCTCTCTCATCACTCTGGGCTCCCCTGGCCTCACGGTGGCCTGGCCTCAGGTGCCCTCCCCAAGTCCATGTTGGGATTGGCTAGGCCAGGCGTCTTGCATACCATGCTTCACAGACAGGCTGTGACCTGCCTCTCTGCTGCCTCAAAGCAGCAATGTGCTTATAAATGGTTAACAACCAGCTTTCCAGGAAAGGAAATGTACACGTATGTATGTAGGCATGGATCTCTCTCCCTTCCTTCCCTGTCTCTTTCTCTATATACACACAGGCACATGCATACATATACATGAACACACAATTTACAAATAATAAAATCCACAATATATAAAAAATGCAACAAAATATACAATATACTCTTCACTGTAAATTCCACATGGCCAATCGATACTCACAAAATACCTCCATTGACTTTTACTGAGTTCTTGTATCTGTATCCAGTACTTGATTGCAACGGATGGACAGGGGTGGTTCCCACATATATGCTGGCTGATGTTTTCATTTATTTTAATAAGATAAACTTGAAGCAGCTAAGATGAGCACCTTCTTTGCTTAATTGGATGATAGTTTTCAAATACCAGAAATGTTTCTTTTTCTTTTTTTTTTCTATTTATAATGTAATGACCACAGACCCAGCGTTCTTCAGTTTAATCTGCAATGTTAGCATTTTTCTCATCGCTTTCTAAAGTCTAGGCAATCAACAAAGCAGTAATACATCAAGCCCTGGTATGCCGTGGCATGCCGAGCTCTGTGGTGTAATACTTCCACTTGGCCAGTCTTGAGCTACCAACATGAAGTCACTGAAGGTGACCTTGGGAAGAGATTCCAGGATTTCCACCACACACATCTGACAGATGTCAACACACAGCAACAGTAAAGCATGCTCGAATCATGAAGATGTGAGTTTTGAGTATCTCCTTTGTTTTTCATATAATTTGTCAGTTTACATAATTTAACTTTTAATAATGATATTGTTTGTTTAGCTCTCAAAATTCCTGGACGTTTAACATCTATTAGAATGGGTAAAACAAAAACTACTGACCACACCAAGTGTTGGTTTAACACGGAGGAGATGTGGAGCACCGGGGGTACCTGTGCGTTTCTGGTGGGAAGGGAAAATGGGGCAGCCACTTGGGAAGACACTTCGGCAGTGTCTGAAAATGTTAAACATGCACCTACCACATCAGCCAACAATTCCACTCCTAGATATTTACTCAAGACAAAGGGGTTGATGTAACCATACAAAGACTCATACTCCAATGTTCACAGCAGCTTTTTCATAATAGCCCCAAACAGGAAACAGCCCAAATGTTCATCAGGTGAGTGGTTGGACAAGCCGCAGTGCATCCACAACACGGAATACTACTCAGCAGGGAGAAGTGAGCTCCCAATGTGCGAGCTCATTTTCATGGGACTCACGGTGATGCTGCGGAGCCAACAGTGAACCGACTCCACTGCTCCAGCTCGCCCCTGGCCAGCTGCCTGCCCCTCGTCAAGCTGCGTCACTGACTGATGAGCCACATGAGGCCACCAGGGGTGTCTGCCAGTGGGGAGACAGTGGTGATCATAGAAGTGTGCCTGGGGGACATGTGACATAAGCCTATTGAAAATGGAGTTCACTATGGAGAGGGATGAATACTAACATCAAAGGCCATAGCATTTCCAGCTTGTCTGTGTGCAGAAGACAATGTGAGGAGCACATTGAAAGCCGCAGCAGAAGGTTGGGGAGTGCCACGGGAACACAGCAGGATGTCTGCATTTCTTGTAAATGATATCCGTCCCCTGCCTGTTGCAAAGAATTCAAGCAGCATTGATGAGTGTCAGCTGCAGAGGTTTCATGTAGGGGACCTCCAGAAACAGTATCAGCATTGTGAGGACACTGCTTTCCTGCAGCTCAGCTTGTGAACACACCTCCCACTCACAGATGTGCACACTCACACACTTGCCCGCATGCAGACACACTTGCACACACACCCTCACACATACATACACGCACACACTTGTGCACACACGTGTTGCACACACCTGTACACACACACACACCTGTGAACACACACTCGTATACATCTGCACACTTGCACACACACATTACCACGTGTGCACACCTGCGTGCGCACACACACCCACACACACTCTTGCACATACCCACACACTTGTCCACACACCCATACACTCACAACCACACTCAAGCACTCACACACCTGAGCACATACACCCCCACTTGTGCACACACACATGCACACACCTGCACACATACTTGCACACATTCGTACACCCACACACACTCGCACACACTAGCACACTCACACACCTGCACACAGTTGCACACACCACACGCATGTACATACACTTGCACATACACTCAGACACTCGCACACACACTTGTACACACTGTCAATCCATTCTAGACTTGTATTTGCCATTTAATGTCTCTTGAGCATCAACCTCTTCTAAGGGATTCAGCTGGGACAAGGACCTGGGAAGTGTTACTTGCATTTTGTCTTAGTCCCTATGGGCTGCTATAACAAAAATACTTTAGACTGGGTGGCT